CTCTCTCTCTCTCTCTCTCTCTCTCTCTTCGGCTCTCTCCTCTCTCTCTCTCTCTCTCTCTCTCTCTCTTCTCTCTCTCGCTCTCGCTCTCTCTCTTCCTCTCTCTCTCTCTCTCTCTCTCTCTCTCTCTCTCTCTCTCTCTCTCTCTCTCTCTCTCTCTCTTCCGTTTCCTCCAGATGTTCGCAAACCACTTGAAATTCTATAGAACAGCAGTTATAATTCATTGCGCAATTACCGCTAAACCCTTTCTTTCTCGATTTTTATTTTCCTTTTCTTTTGTCTAAAACAAAGAAGTAACCGTTCTGTTGCCAAATTAACACCACACTCGACACCAGGCTCTTGCAACAGCTTGGACCCAGACCGCAAATTCCTCGTGCTTTGTCAAACGGGATCAGTCATAGAGGCTCGATCGGCCCTGCTACACTGTGCTCTTGTTATAATCACCTTTTCAGAATGGAGAAGCAAAAACAGCCTTTCCTGAGCTTCAGCGTGTTGAACCAATGATGCCCTTTTTAAACTTTCCTGAGATAATATCTTCTGATATGGCACACAGAATCATGTGTAGGTCTATACTGAAAGAAAAAAAAAATTGTTTGTCACTTAAGCGTCACATCACAGCTCAAAACTTTCTATTTATCCGAAATTTAAGATGGTCGTCTCCATTTACTAAGGTAGCGAACGCCATGGTGCACATCGTCCATTTAGTCCAGAAACTTAGTCTCTAGAAATTTCATACATCAACGTCCTAATATTCAGAGCAAGATAGTCAAGTAGCGCTGTTGCCGAAAACCCTCACTTAGTCAAGTATCGTAGTGACAAAGTTATCGGTTAGCCAAAGCAGCATTCTTATAGACGGCCACACGAGAATACCTAAAACAAACGAGAGCTGTGTTGTCTGTTTCCGTAAGGAGAATGAAGGGTAGGTGGACCTCAGGAAAGATGGAGAAGAATAGTCATTAAGGTCTATCTCAGAGACGGCAGGCTATGCAGATTATTAGCTGACGATGCAGTCTGCACACATGCCCAAGTTGCAGTTTTGGAGGCAACGTCAACAGCATGTCGCCGCTGCAAGTTGTGTATGACACTCAAGTCTCATAATCTCTATTCACTGCGTATCATTGTCTCAGTGAGCAGACAACAGACTATTTCACCCGCTGACTATATCAGTTTCTATGTAAACGTTTTATCTTGTCTGAACTGTGATTATATATTTAACCGATCAGACAAATCAAATTGGACTGAAGTTTGACTGATTTCCCCGCGCAGCAGAAGAGTCGATTGAGGTGGAAGCTTTACCTCTTTCCGTGCCTTTTGCAGATTTTTTGTGAATATGGTATGTAAAGTTATCTCTCTCTCTCTCTCTCTTCTCTCTCTCTCCTCATCTCTCTCTCTCTCTCTCTCTCTCTCTCTCTCTCTCTCTCTCTCTCTCTCTCTCTCTCTCTCTCTCTCTCTCCTCTCTCTCTCTCTCTCTCTCTCTCTCTCTCTCTCTCTCTCTCTCTCTCTCTAAGACAGCTGATAACACGTTATTTTTCATTTGATTTTAAAAAAATATCGGCACTGTATTAGTACGATTTCGGTAGAAAGTGCTAATTTGACAAGTAATGTACACTTCTGTAAATCAATTTTATCAAATCAAATTCTCTCTCTCTCTCTCTCTCTCTCCTCTCTCTCCTCTCTCTCTCTCTCTCTCTCTCTCTCTCTCTCTCTCTCTCTCTCTCTCTCTCTCTCTCTCTCTCTCTCTCTGTGAGAACTTTGCCATAAAAATCAAACCAAAAAAATCATATTTAGTTGTATATTGTATATCACCCTTATGGCCCAGTCAAAGCCTTGTGCATCCCTCTTTACACACACACACACACACACACACACACACACACACACACACACACACACACACACACACACACACACACACACCACACACACACACACACACACACACCACACCAGTGATACGATTAACAAAAATTCGGGTAAGCTTTTGCCTTTCACTGCCTTTCCTTAAAAAGAATATAAAGCGATATATATGCAACGGAAAAGAATACCATGGTCCTCAAAAAATAATGGATAAGATAACAAACGATAAAAAGATAAAAAGATGAAAAAATAAGAGTAACAGACTTCTTAAAGAAGATCAATAAGGATGATAATAAAGATGATAAAAATAATACGAATAAGGATAACAATAAATATAACGATGATGATAATGATAATAATGATGATGATAATAAAGGCAATGATAATGATAATGATAACAATAATAATGATAATAATAATGACATCATTGATAATGATAACGATAATTTTGATGACAACAATAATAATGGTAATGATAACAATAATGATATTGAAGATAATAATAATGATAATGATATAACAATTACGAGAATGATATATAGACGAATGATTATGATGATGACGATGACGATGATAATAGTAATAATAGTAATAATGATAATTATAAAAATGATAATGAGAATAATAATAATATTACTGGTGAGAATAATCAGCAACAATAATGATAAGTATAATGATAATGATGGTGATGATAAAAATGATAATAATAATGATAACAACAGTAACAATAATAATGATAATGACAATAAAATTATAATAATGATAGTAACGGTAATAGTGATAATAATAATAGTAATGATAATGATAATTAAGTCCTGACAATAATGATGGCTGTTTTATTGGCGTTTTGTGGCAAAACCTATAATGACCTACAGATAGATAAACACCGTTCTTTTAGGTTTCGCATCATTAATTCAGTCAATAAATGAGCGCCGTTCTTGCTTAATTTTGTGACATGGCCTTTTAACGACCTTTAATTAGATCATAGCCTTCTTTTAGGTTTTTCATCACTAAACCATATCGATATTAAAGCGGCGTTCTTTTAGGATTTGGCGACATGACCTTTAAATCTCAAAGAAGCTCTCAGTCGCGGCCATGTCGGGAGGCGAGATGGCCGGCGAGGAATTGTGGCAAGAGTGTTGTCACTGGTTGGCGAGAATAGAGCTTATTACGAGAGATCATGTCCTTACTTCGGAAAATGCAAAACTCGCGGACCTTTGTCGGTTTCTTAGAGACGGTGTGATGATCTGTAAAATTCTCCATATCTTGGACGAAGGTTGTATAGACCTGAGAGCGATCAACCAAAGGCCTCAGAATGCTCAGGTACAATACGAGCTTTATTTACAGTGTGTGTTTTTTTCAGTGTATCTCGGGCACAGGATTTTATTTTGTGTTCTTAATGGGGTGTTTCAAGGTTTGGGTCTTGTGATGGATCGAGAGAGAAGTAGAATTGTCTTATTTTCGGGGGTTATTTGCATAAAACATGATGGAGGGTTTCCTCTCCCTTTCTCTCGCTTTCGCCTCCTTTTCTTATGAACTCGCGGTAAGTATTACTTTTCCCCAGATTGTGAGTGAATGACACTGCCAGCAGGCTTAGAAGAATACTGTTTTGTGTTATATCATCGTCTCTGAATGATTAAAGAAAGACCATTGTTAGGCCTATATTGATGTGACATTCTCGTGTGATCCACTTGTGACGCTCATTATCATCATCTCTCTTATAATAATTAGGAGGAAAGGAAGTTTTATCATGTCAGACCACAGATTATGTGTTTGACTGGATTTTTAGGTGGACAGGGGAGTAAAAATTGTAAATATTAGGTATGAAGATGTTAGATTGTCATGTAACAGCAAATATTTTGGCAATTATAAGGGGATAACCACAACAAGCATAGCTGTCAAGTCAGCATTTTCACACTAGCAAAGACAAACAAATTTCCACCACATGTATAGTGTCAAATGGAGTTTGGACTGATTTTATAGGTAATAAAATTCCAGGGGATTTATAAACACAGTCTTACCAATAAATAAATGGTGGATATTTGTTGACAGTCACTAAAGCAGGAAGCACAGAGGCTATAGCATACATTTACAAAGATAAGTGACTGTAGATCTCTTTTACTCTGTACAGATGATGAATGTGAACAAGACACTCGCACATCTGCCTGTGACTTACACGTTAATCATTGCAGCCTCTTTGCCGGTCAAACAGATGTAGGCAAGATCAAGCTTGTAGCTCTCCCTCGGCTTGTAGCATCACAAATAATCAGTCATAATTCTTTCTTGTCATAAGATATGCAGGAAAATCTGTGTCCATTTCTAGTGTGTAAAGTATAGAGATCATGATAATTGCTTGATACTGTATCACCAGAAGATTGGACATGAGATTGTAAGCCATCTGTCATAGACCATAGTGAGTTTCAGATGGATTTGGATAGAGTACAGTCCATATTGTTATAAAGAAGAGTCCGCAGTAAGTGTCTCAGACCCCCAAACGGCAAAACCCATGGCTTGAGGAGTCTAAACAGAAAGAACTTTGAGATATTACACTTATTTTAGGCCTACATGAATGACATTTTTCAAATAATTCCAAATATATACTAAATACTGTTTTGACACCATTCAAAATAAATGTTAGTGTTGAAAGATCTTGTTATACCACCTGTAGTCCTAGCACTCACATGGTTGCTTTTAACCACCTGAAGAAGCCAAGGATTAGCACCTGTCAATTACTAGTGCCCCCATGCCATTCAGTACACAGTATTTTGAAGAGACAGAGACAAGAGGAGATGAGAGAAAAAGAAAGAAAAAAGGGAGAGGGAGAAGAAGAACAGATTATGGAAGGAAGGAAAAGAGAAGTAGAAAAAGTAAGAGGAAGAGAGATAGAAAAAAAAGAGGGAAGGAGAGAAGGAAAAGAAAGAAAGAAAAAGAGAGGTAGTTAGGGAGAAAAAACAAGTAGAAAGAGAGGATGAGTATTCTCTCTCTCTCTCTCTCTCTCTCTCTCACATACGCACACACTCACGTGCACACGTGCACATGCAAACACACACGCACATGCACATGCAAACACACATGCACATGCGCATGCAAACACACATGCACATGCACACACACATCCTCATCCACATACATACAGATATACATACATACATACATCCCCCTCACACATCCACACACACACACGGCACGCACGCAACGCACGCACGCACGCTTACACGCACGCACGCACACTGCACGCACGCACAGTGCACGCACGCAACACACATGCACGCACACATGCACACACATGCACACACACATGCACACACATGCACACACACACATGCACACACATGCACACACATGCACACACACACACACACACACACACACACACACACACACACACACACACACACACACACACACACACACACACACACACACACACACACACACACACACACACACACACACACACACACACACACACACACACACACACACACACACACACACACACACACACACACACAGTCTTATTTTAATGTGCCTTTGATAGTAAAAGAAGGCATTTCTTTGGTGTCAAATATGTCTTGAAAATTTAGTTTTTTCTTTTTTTTACATGGCTTTCATTATACCAGAAATTACATTGGTAGAATAGTTTCAATAATAACAATTGACGTTAGTTTAGATTTTGATTCTGATATTCATATATTTGATATTGTTTTTATTATTATCTTTATTATAATTGATATTATTTTTATCATTGTTATTGATATTGTTGTTATTGTTATTTTTTGTTATATTTGTTATTAGCTAGTACTATTACTGTTATTACCATTGTTGTTTTGTTTTTCTGTTATTATTGTTATTATTAATACCATCATCATTATCAGCATTATCATAATTATTATACATAATGAAGATGAAAATGATAACAACAGTCATGAAAGTAACATTGATAATGATGATAATAATAATAGTAGTAGTAATAGTAGTAATAATGATAACAATGATGAAATAATGATAACAATGATAATAATACCAATAATGATAAGAATAATAATGATGATAAAGATAATGAGAATGTAATAATAATGATATTAATGATAATAACAATGATAGTTATGATAATATTTATAATAATCATAATACTAGTGATGGTAATCATAATCATAATAACAATGACAGAAAATTATCATGATAAAGGATAGTAGTGATAATGAAAATGATATTGATAATAATAATGGTAACGATAATAATAGTGAAGATGATAATGATAACAGAAATGATGGTAAAGTTCATGTTAATCCAACGTTGACAGGCAAATGGTGCATTCCCTTTGGTGATGATTAGTTAAATGATGATAATTATTATTATTGTGATTGTTATTATATTATTATATTATTATTATTATATTATTATTATTATTATTATTATTATAATTATATGGTGGTGTGGTGTTATTCTTGTTCTTGTTATTGGTGGTGATGTTTTGTGATTATTATTATTTTTTATTGTTATTATTGTGATCATTACTATTATTATTATTGTTGTTATTATTACAATATTATTATCACCATTATTATCATCATTCATATATTTATATGTCTATATTTATTTATTTATTCATTTACTTTTTTATTTATTTATTTATTAAAATCTACAGGTCAAATGAGTCAGGGATGAGAATTTTCTTGATAGGCAGGAGAGCATACATGGACTCGCATAATTAGGCGTATCTCATAGGGGGGTAGCGGACCCCATCCAATTGGAGAGGGAAAGAAGATAGTGATATTGAAATTTTTATGTAAAATGAATAAAATGTTTATTTCATGTTTCATCTGTATGCAGGCCTATATGTTTAGAATATCTCCTTTTCTCATTATATTTCTCAGTACTAGACTTTATACTTGAATCTTTGGGGCATGCAATCAAGGAATTGGCCCCGGGCATCACCAGACTTTAGCTCGCTGCTGTCTCAGAGGATAGATTGGTGAGCGATGGGGAGACCTTTGACTTTACCCCTCATTTTCCTCCAGGAGTTTGTGGGGCTATGTTGGCCACCGAAAAAAAAAAAAAATTTAGGGCCTCATAAAACCTTGTGCTGTGTTTTTAGTTCAAAATCTTCTCTAGACTTCTAATTAGGCACCGTCTCGACAGCTCATATAGGCTCCTATCTTAAAAACAACTAAGAAGGTAGAGTGCGGTTACATACAGCCATGGGGTCGTCAGGTAGCGTGTCAGGGCTAGATAAAACTGCAAGGGCATTCAAGTGCTAATAGGATCACATCATTATTATTATTGTCATTGTCATTGTTATTAGCTATCATTATTATTATTATTAGCTTTGTTGTTGTTATTTATTGCTATTATTTTTATTTTTTTTATTTATTTTTATTATTATGTATATGTAGTTTTATTATTTATTAGGCAACAACAACTTATGATTATTATTACAATAATTATTATGGTTACTATCATTGTCATCATCATTATTGTCGTTTTTATTATTGGTATTCTTATTCTTATTCTTATTAAAAATATTATTATTATTATTATTTATTATTATTATTATTAATTAAAATTATTATTATTATTATTATTATTATCATTATTAAAGATAATATTATTATTATTATAATGATAATATTATTATTT